ACGGCACTTAACAACAACATACTGTCAATAAACGTTATTATTTATAAACTTCTTCCAATGTAGTTGGTATACATGTAGTTATCAAAAGTCCCAGAACAGCCATGACATGGATAAACAGAGCTATTTGTTGTAGGGTAAAAATAATGACAGTGTTATTTAACCTGATTAATGAGAAATATTCTCAACATAAAAGAAAACAAAATCCCCAAGTCTTCAAAATAGTGATTTGTCAAATAAAGTTCCATAATGTGTATTTAGAAATAGTTTAAGTAAAAATGTATCTTCCTTTATACAAAAGCTCTGATTTTTAAAAGGTGTTCAGCAATAAATCATCCAAAAAAGAAATCACGTGAAGCTACCGATACAATTTCAGACACGATTTAAATCTGTTTGCAATTCTTTTCACTTCTTAATATGTTGCCTTTATACTTCACACTTATCATCTGTAACTTCTTCCTGTCATATATTTCCATCTTCTTTCCCTTCAATTCTCTGCCAACTGTATACTCTTTATGGATTTGATTACTGGGTGTTGTGGTGTGTTTTTTTTAACAGAGCAAAATGTAACTGAACATTTGTACCTTACAAATAACTTTATAAAGTTCATACAAATGGTAAGCACCATGAAAGAAAAACAACTGATAGAATAGCACACGTATAAAGTAAGTGCCTATGTATGTCAAAGAAAAACTACAAAGGAAAATTAACTGTGAAAGAAAAATACTAAGAACCCATCTTATAGACTATCAAGTACACAATGAGATAAAAATAATAATGTTTTATAGTTTACTATACATTCATACAACTATGTCATTTAGCTTCAGAACAACTGTGTAATGAGGGAAGAAAGTATTAATGACATAATTCTTGGTTTTAGGCAAATACACTACGTAACAGTAACTCTCATCTGTATCCATTGGGTGTTAGTAACACCCCTCTCCCCAATTATGCCAACAAAAGTGCCTTCCAGACATATCCAAATGTTCCCCAGGGCACAAAATCATCACCACTGGAAAATCACTGGCAGAAAAAACCTGTATGTCACTTTTTGCAAATAGGGTTGCTGAACTCAGAAAATTTAAGGGACTGGTTCAAGGCCACTCTCATGACACCAACTTGAGAGTTAAAGGCCTCTGCCATGAATGCCTTGGGTAAATCACTAATTACTACTTAAACTGAAAGTGATCTTTGTACGCCAACAATCTGTGTATTTCAGACATTTCTAAACTCCCTTTATTCTCAACTTAGTTAGTCATTATTCCAGGCTTCTTTCTTCCCATAAAAGGAAAACATGTCATTATAATTCCTGGCTAGAAATAAACACACTGAAAATTTATGTAGGCATAAAACATATTTACCCAAGCCATTCTTTAGTTTTTTCAAAGTAGTATCTATCTTTGTATGTGAAAAGATTATGAAATAGGCCATTATTCTTGTTTGATACAGTAGTTCCTATACCATACAAACTTTATGACCCACCTCTATTATATACTTATAACAAATAGGATCTTATTTAAAAAGCTCCATAGCAAGAAAGCTAGTAAGATACTAAAAGTTCAGTGAAAAACACCAATTATCTGACCAAAAATACTTCTCATAGACCAGTGCTTCTAGTGGAGCTTTTCAAGCTTGCTGATAATGTACAGCTTTATTCTGTTTAATTAATAGCATTTTTTTCTTATGCTTTTTGCATATGTGAAGAAATACTGGGTTCTCATAGTAATACTCTAAACATGAACATTTTGGTTAGTCAAGCGCTGTATTTAAGCAGCATTTACTGCTTTTCAAATTGTTTCTCAACAGAAGGCGGCACAATGGAATTGTCGCAGGTAATGCATTGCTATCTGTGTGCAGGCTGGAAAGGGAAGACAGGAATGTCAGAGAATCAGGGTGAAGAACCATACCTTCCATGACGTAGACCAGTGACCCCACGTCCCCTTCTTTGATGATGCAACTGTCCTTGCCATATTCCACTGGGTACATACAATCCACAATCTCCTGGATCTGCGACAGTTCTAAATTCTTCATAAAGTCATTGTCAAGGATAGCCTCCTTTATGAGATCCTTAGACCTGGACAAAGAGAGGGAAAATTTACAGTTAGGTGTGACAATCTTAGGTTTGAGAGTCATAGAGTCCTCTGGTGCATACAAATGAATTTTCTTCGTAGGAAACCAAAGATTTCCTGAAAGACTCAAGAATGACGTAATTCCATAGCAACAGAAAGGCAAGAAGACATTTTCCTTTAAGTAAGTTATGACTTAATGCACACATAAGGAACCAGCTTAAAGTGAAAACATACAACCCGTTGTGTTATTGTGGTGGTGGTGGTGGTGGTGGTTCGCAACATCTTTATTTCTAATAGCCAAAATCTATCTCAGGATAGATCACTTCATTAGCGTATAAAAATCAAAATGGAAAACATGAAAATACATATTGTCAGGACCAGCACAGTATTGAAGGCTAAGGTAAAGATGGTTAACACGTAGGCTAGGAGCTTAGCAACCTATACAGACATAACACGTTTGGAAAGTTGTTCTAGACAACCTCCTTCTAGACATCTCAGTTAACAGAACTTGTCCTCAGATATTCTGAAATGATTTAATCTTAAGTAATTCACACTCTCATTGCCAATGAGTTGCTTCTGACTCCTGATGACTCTCCACCAGGCTTCTGAGGCTACGCATCTTAACAGAAACAAGAGAGCACCATCTTGTCCCACAAAACAGCTAAGGGATTTGAACTGTCAGCCTTCCAGTTAGCAACACAATGGGTAATGAGCTCCTCCCAAATAATAATTGCTGTTGCTGTTGTTACTGTTAGGTGTCTTCAAGTTTACCGTGAGTTATAAGAATCCAATGAACAATAGCTATAAACCCTGCCCTATCTTCACCGTCCTCATGTTCCCTAACATTCTCAAGCCCACTGTTGCAGGCACCACTTCAAGCCATCTCATGAAGGGGCTTCCTCTTTTTTGCCAATTCCCTACCTCACCCAGCATGATGTCCCATTAAAAAAATATTGTGTCACCCAGACAAACCTTCCGCAAGTTTTCACAGGTCTTGCAACCTATGGATTCATTAGCAGCACAATTCTTTACCAATAGACAAACAGAGCTCCTTTCAGCAATAAATAAACATATGTAAAAATGAAAATCTCTTCCTCAATAGATTACTGTATTTCTGTTAAAACTATGTTTGAAGAGTGAGATGTTTTTAACAATGATAGCACAGAAATTCTTACACAGAATTGTTTGTATAATAAGAAAGTATGTCTGCAATGAAATGGAAAGAGAATATAATCTTTGAAGTTAGAAAGATTTTAATTTCCAATTCTATGGCCTCAGTCTGCTAACAGTGCCATTAAAAAAAACCCCTTTACTAGTTTGTCTAATCCTATTGACTCTCCATTCTGTCAGTTGTAAAATTATATATTTAAAGAAAGAAACTGCAATCAATCTTATTGAGGGTCCTCCTCTCATTTTATCCTTCACTCTTCCAAGCATGATGTCCCTTTCCAAGGCTCGCCTCTCCCAGCAACATGCCCGAAGTATGTGGGATGAAGCTTTGCCTTTCTTGCCTCCAAGGGACACATTGGCTGTATTTTTTTCAAAGACATATTTGTTTGTTCTTTTGGTAGTCCATGGAACAGTTAGTCTATTTTCCAAAACAAAACCTTAAAGGCATCGATTCTTTTTCTGTCATCTTTCTTCATTGGCCAGCTCTTAGATGTCCAGCAGGTGACTAGGAAGACTGTGGTTTGAATCAGGAGCACTTTAGTCTTTGAACTGACATCATTGCTCCTCGGTAATTTGGAGAAGTCTCCGATAGCAGATTTTCCCAGTGCACTTTGTCTTCTGATCATCTGACGGCTAGTATCAAGGGTGTTGATTGTGGGTCGAAGTAAGATGAAATCATTGACAGTTTCAGTCTTTTCTCTATCATGCTGTTGCTTATCAGTCCAGTGGTAAGAATTTTTATCCTCTTTATGCTGAGATGTAATCCATGCTGAAAGCTATAATCTTTCATCTCCTGCAGCCTTTTGTAAGAAATCCTCTCTTTACTAAATAGACTTCTATTTAGATCAGAGAACTAGGTAAAAAAAAATGGGTCCATAGTTTGAATATGATGAAGACTGACTGACTGTTGTCATCCCTAGAATCTCAACTCAATTAACTACAAATAGTATCTTGTTCTTTGGAACAAATAAATCACTATTAATGATCTATTAAAGACCAACATCTTAGAAATGCATCAACATGAAGAAATAAAGTCTTTTTCCAAGAAAATTATTAATTAGCTCAATCCAAAAATGGCTTAAGGTAGTCAATTTCTCTTGGTTATAAACTAACCTGTTTTATAAGATGAAATAATGAAGTCTATCATAGCATGAAAGAATTATCCAAATATTCTAAGTGCTTATCGAAGACTGTCTGAGGAGGGCTACAAAGTGTACTTGTTCCTCAAACTTCATTTTATTTGGAGGATATTTAATCTCTAATCTCTGAAGAAACAAACTAGAGGCTTTTGCATACAAGCTTGTGTCATTTTAAAACAAACTAATCAGTTCAGGTCTGTGTCACCATACTTATTTCCTTCATACAGGTAATTGTCCAACGGCATGTTTGTCTCTGAAACGTCATAAGCAATCTGTGTCTCTGTCTTCACAGCAACATAGAAATCGTACACCATCTGTGCAGTACAATCAAAAGATGTTCTTGGCAGTGACTAATATTTAAAACCCTGCCTCATCACAGAATCTTCTTTTAAGTCCTTTCCCATTGAGAACACTGAACCTTAAGTCAACTCTCATTAGTTTCCACTTGCTCCTACATTGTTGTTGTTGTTGTTGTTGTTGTTGTAGTTAGGTGCCGTCCAGTTGAATATGACTCAAAGCAGCCTATCAACAACAGATCTGCATCCTGTCCTGTTCTGTGCCATCCTCACTATGCCTGATACACTTGGGTTCACTGCTTCAGTCACTATGTCAATCCATCTCAGTGGGAGTATTCCTCTCTTCGACTGACCCTCCACCCTTCCACGTATGATTGCTTTTTCCATGGGATAAACTCTCATAGTAACATGTCCGAAGTATGAAAGACAAAGCTTTGCACCATCTTTGGGCGAGCAGGGCAACTCCCTAACTGAGTTACGTCACCAGAGAGAAAGGTCTGGTTAGTAGTGTTTGTCAACTTTCATAGTTCAATAATTCCACCACAGACCATTTTAATTTACTAATGTAAATTCATTCTGCTTAATAAAGCCCTGTGAACTTAAGGAACAGTTATTACACAAACCAGTATAAACTGGTAAAACCCACTGGAGGGTCAGTTAAGAGTCAATTCTGACTCGATAATACACGACAACATTGCTATTTTAGGGAATGCCCTTGTGGCTTAGTGGGTAAGGAGTTGTGCTGCCAATGAAAAGCAAACAGTTCAAATCCATCCATCAGCTGCTCTGAGAGAGATAGATAGGCATTCTCCTCTCCTAAGATTTACAGTTTCTGAAAACTCACTGGAGAGTAGTTATTAATTGGTTCCAACTCCACGGAGCTCTAGGTGGCTCTGGTAGCCAAGCGGTAAGAAGCCATGCTGTAATCCCAAAGGCACACAGTCTGAATATGCTAAAAGCTCCACAGAAGGATGCACAATCTCCTCCTTGGTGATTAAATGCCTCTGAAAACCACCTAGAGGATGAGAAGGATGGGCAATCTCCTTCTGTGTGATTAAGTGCCTCTGAAAATGAACTAGAGTGTCAGCTATGGGTTGGTTTTGACTAGACAACACACAGAAGATCAAACACTGCAGCTTTCAGTATGGATTGCATCTCAATATCAAGTAAACAAAAATCTTCACCACTGGAATGCTATGCAACATCATAACTGATGGGAAAATCGTTGAAATGTCAACTATTTCATCTTACTTGTATCTATAATCAACATCCTTGGTACTAGAAGCCAGAAGATCAGGAAACGTTGCCTTGGGGAAGTCAGTAGTCAGAGATCTCCTCAAATTACTGAGGAACAATGATATAAATTTTTAAAATCTAATGGCCTGATTCGGGCCATGGTCTTTTCCAGAACTTGCTACATGTCTAAGATACAGACAATAAATAAGAACGACAGAAGAACAGATGTCTTTGAACTGTGGTATTGAAAAAGAGTACATCTCATTGACTGCCAAAAGAACAAACAGATATATCTTAGATAAAGTATAGTCAGAATGTTCCTTGGGGGCAAAAATGGCAAAGCTTAGTCTCACGCACCTTTGATATGTTGCTAGGAGAGGCTATTTGGAAAGGGACATGATGCTTGGAAAGGTGGAGGGTCAGTGAAAGAGAAGACGACCCTCATTGAGCAATCGGCTCAAGTGTATCAGAGATGATGAGGATAGCACATGACAGGAGAAGGTTCAGATCTGCAGTTCATAGGGTCGCTATGACTTGTACTCAACTCAATAGCATCTAACAACAACAAGATAGTATTAAATAAATACACAAATATAAAAACTACTGGTATAAAAGAAAAACCCCACTACTGGTATGCAATTCAAATCCACCAGCTGATCTGTAGAGGAGATATGAGCAATCTCCTCGCTTGTGATTAATTGTCTCTAAAACCCTGTTGGAGGGTCAGCTAGAAATCAGCTCATATGGCACGGCACACAACGACCACATTGCCATGATAGTAAAGAATTCTTGTAAAATAAACTCATGTGAATCAGTGTCCTACAAATATTTCATTTCTTTAGACTTCAAATCACTGACTCTTAACTCAAAATTCAAACTCATATCCTTTGAGTTGTAATGGGCCCATAGCTGACCTTCAAGTAGGTTTTACACGTACAAAGGTTGTATTTTTAAGAGTACAAGACAGACTATATTTCTCCCATCAAGTAGCTGGTCAATTTAAACTCATGCCTTTAGGTTAGTATCACAACATCTTACTTACTAGGTCACCAAAGCTCCAACTAACCCCCTGGCCACTCTTACCTTAGGAGAGATTTAGGCCTCATCTCCAATTTCAAAAGCTATCATGAGAAGCTGAAACTTCCATCCACTGCCTACCTACAT